ATATGTTAAGTAGATCTAAAATGCGTAAAAGACATTAGCATAATTTCTCTTTCAAAGTGAGTCCTGAAGGTTCTAGTAAACATGTTGTTGCTATAGAGTGCAATCACGTGGCCGTGTGCGTATCGGTTTCAGAACAGCTTGATTGACCAGGTGAAACTGTTGCCATTTTAAGCGTCAGCTGTTGGTCACCACCGTCTCAAATATTTCCTTTTCGACATTGATTACGCCCATTAGCATTCAATTTAATTAATAGCTTAATGCCAATTGTCAACAAACTGCTTGACGGCGTTACATCGAAACAGCTGTCCAGAATTGGTCACTGGTCTTCCTTCCTTTTCTCTTCGTCCTTTCATTAACCTCACTGCGTTCTCCTCCTTTGCCTTGTTTATATTTCTCTTTTTTACTGTCATCATTTTTTTCTTCCTTCTTCCTCATCCTCTTCTTCGCAATCTTATTTTTCCTAGTATTCAGCTTAATCATTTTTTCTTTCTTTTCGTCTTCTTCTTCACGTTCTTCCTCTGTTTTGCCATTTTCATTATCGTTCCCTCATCATCTTCTTAAAAATCCTATTTTAAGCATACCGAAGCTGCAGGTTTAAATTGGAAATCTACTTGAGGGCAGCTTCTTTGATCATTGCTGTTATAAAGCTGTCATAAATTCGCAATTATTGCGGAAGTTTCTCGAATGTGATCAAGTGAAAAGCGTCCAAATTTCCTTTAGCTGCTTACCTAAAATTTCATTAGATTTGATTCGGCTAGATTAAATATCATTTACCGGGTAGATTCAGCAAAATTAAATCATATCTTTGTTTTCTAGGGTAAACGAACGTATTTATTTTCAGTATCTGCGACTATCATGGGTGGATTAGTCACGTTACCCTCCGGAAAGACTCTATGAATCTGTATGGAGGCTGGTAAATTGTTGGTCGCTGTTATCGAGCCACTGTCACGTCCCCTTGTTCCGCTTCACTTCTTCCTTGTCGACGAGAGTTTACGACAAGAGCGGCTAGCAAAATAACGGCAGTAGCCGCATTTCGGTTTCACCAAGAATAAACGAGTGAAGACTCTTTATTAGTGTGGCTTCCGCGGACTTCCATGCACAGGCTTGCCCCGTGTCACGCTGACCCGTAGGACGCAAATGGAGCCAGTGTTTTAAGCTGTACCGATGAATTTAAGCCGCCTCTGACATATTTTGTGATGCTTCTGACCCGGAACCCATGCATCGATGACTCGTTCTTTAGAGGGTCTCGTCCACCTGCATACCCAAGTTACAATGGAATAGGCGCAACGACGCGAAGAGATGGGTTG